GAATGCATTTATGGAAAATTCGAGCATGCAGAAACACATCAAACAAAATATAAAGAAAGGAGTATTAATTATATACTTCTATGCAAACAATTCTTTTGTGCAGATTTTTTTACTTTAATTACGTTCATGAAAGTTTAAAAATTCATAAAAATCGACAGTCTAATTACGACATAGAATTTTGTTAGTTTTCATCCGTCCTTCATCATTTTTTCCAGCTTAATTTGTTATCAAATTGAGAAAGTGACGTAAAATTAACTAATATACTAATCTTTCATTAACGATAAATAGATAATTCTACTCAATTGTAATTTTTATTCTCGAATACAGATATTCAATTTTATATCGTGATCATTTTACAAGAAAAATATGTCAAATTGACGCACAAGGGACAGATAAATAGATCTACAAGGATCAGAGCAGTGTATAGAGGTATAAAATTTTAAAATATCAAGCAATTTAATTATAATGGAAAAGTAGATAAATGCACGAAAGAAAAATTCCAGTTCGTTAAAGAAACAACTTATAATGTTTCATTGATGCGAAAATATTCTGTTATTAAATTAAAAATAATACTAACTCTGTTGTAGACTTGTTGTTCCAAGCTTCGAATTGAGCCAAAGTTTTAGACTTGCACTCTAATATGTCTAATTTGCATGCCCATTTGAGAACGTGAGATTTTAACAAAAGCACAGTGTGATCCAAATCGTGATTATCCTTGAGTTCAAGCTTTTCGTAAATTGGTGTCAGAAGAGAGCTTACGTATCGCTGTAACATAATAAAAAGGATTTGTTAAAAAATTATATGACGAGATAATTGTTTATTAATATGCCTGTTCGTATTAAATTTGCAAAAGAATTTGCAGAGATAAAAAAAAATACTAACAAAGTTTAATAATTTCATTTTGTTAAAAGAAAAACAGTTCTATACAGTAACAGACAAGAGGAAGTCTGTAAGAATTACTATAGACAACCTCTTAGGACTCATCAAATTTTAGGAAATTAGATGATAAATTTTTTAATTTTATTTTATTATCTTTTTGTTCTATTATTTTACTATATAAATATTTATAACTTCATATGAATTTATTTTTATTTTATTATTTTTCGTATTTATATATGTAAATTATATAAAAATTAGCTACATAATATTAATTTTGTACATAGCAACAAATATAACGTTACGTAGGTGAACCCTAAGAGGTTAATAATCTACAATTTATATTTGTTATTGTATCATACACAGCAATTAATCCTGAGATAATATTTCACAGTCATTCATTTGTTCTTGACAAATACAAATTCTGTCTTCAAAAATCTGCTATATTTTCCTAAACATTTTTTCTCTCTTCCGTCGTCGGATAAAACGAATTGAAAAATTATTCTTCCAGAAAATGTGGCAAAGAACTTAACCGATCAATATTGTTTCATTTCTTGTAATTTTTCTCTCGTTCTTTATTTTGAGATATACGTACCACAAACGCTTTGTAACTTCCCTTCCCTTCGAATTGCTTGTGCAAATAATTCAGGCCGTTGAAAAACGCTCGCCATGGAAGATATGCATCCTCTTTGATCAGATATTTAGTCGCAGTTAAAAGAGTTGGATAATCGACGTATTTCGCTCGGGCAAGATTGAACAAATCGTCGATGATGGTTGCACGATTAATCTCGTCTATTGACCGGTATCGATCGTTTAAGATTTGGATGATTTGTTGCCAATTTTCAGGCGAATAGTTCACTCGATAAAATCCTGAAAATAATTTATTACATGGTAAAAGTGAAACGTGTTAGTACACTGAGGATATTCAAATTTATGTTTCCATGAACGCAAAATACAGAGCTTGGAAAGCTAATCAGTGCAAGTTATTTTCCAGAAAAGATCACTATCGAACACTTTCAGTCGATGGTACAGTTTACCAATCATCTCAGTTCAGTAATAATCATATTATAATGATATGTTTATTATTACTGAATTATTATTATTTTGTATGGTAGAAATAAAAACACGATTTTCAAATAGAAAGTTGAAAGCTTCAAAATTAAAAAAGTGTACCAAAATTATATTGTATTATATTAATCATTATATTGTTATAATTTATGTATTAAACAGAGTTCACTTCTCTACGTAACATAATTTAAATCGAAATTATTTATGGATTTATACCTTTTAAAATTTTCGATTAATTGAGAAACTCATTGAGAACCAAGCGGACTTGACGTTATAAATACGTTGACGTTAAAAAAAAAAAATATCAAGCGAACTTTGAATACGTTTCCATTCTTTCTAATTAAAGTAATAAAAAAAAAAAAAATCGAAAATAAAATGTCACGTTGGTTCTTAATGGATTGGGCGGAAATTTTTATAAAAATTCATTCAGTCGAAGTAGAATGTTCATATAGTTATTTACCTGCTTGTCGAACGTTTAGCAAGAGGAGATCATTCGTTGGTAATTTGAAGTTTTCTTCATCATTTTTGAACCAATGTTTCGTTTTCGTATCAGAGAAGTCTGGTTTGTTCAAATTTGTCCAAGTGATCGGTATGTGCCAGAAATTCTTGTTCGACGATTCTTCTGGATTCAAGAAGAATCTCTCTTGTTTCAACAGTAGATAACCACCATTTTGAATAGCACGAACGACAGGATAACCAGACTGTGTGGTCCAACTGTTCATAATGTCCGGAATCAAGTTTTTGAGTTCTTCGTCTTCAACTGTTTTGCTGATCGCGTCGAAAAGATCTTCCGGCGTGGCTGCGCCGTATTTTCTAAAAGAAAATTCAGAACAAACTGTTCAGAGGACAATCCTTTCGTTGCGTGAAGATTTTGTTAAAATAAGTATAAAAATATTATAATAATAAATCGTATTTAAATAAGTATGAAAATCATATGCTCTCCTTCTTTTATGGATAAAATAAATATTAATAAATATAATTGTACTATGACGTAATGAGATTTTTAGCATTGCATTTGACGATTTTTCAAGGTAATACAATAATTTATAAAAAAGTTAATCAGTTTATCGTATTGCATCTTAAATACAGCGAAATTTTACTTTTCCTCTATCGTTCGTTATATTCGAATGAATTATAATACGAATAAGTCTGACCAAAGCGTCTAGGGTTCTACTTGCGATTATGCGTTAGCGTTTTCCAAAGGAACTGCCAGCGATATTTTTGTGAAATTTTTGATCGTTATTTACAATCTCATCGTCAATTAACATTCAATGAAAGTGTTACCTGTTAAGCTCACTTGTATCTTCGAACCCGAAAATTCGATTTGCTCAATTTGGTTCGACATAGGATCGAACATAAAAATACGAGCTTATCTTTTATTAGTCTAAATCTTACTGTTCATCTAGGTAAATCTGGAGAGCCATGTGGAACAATGGTTTGGTCAACACATTCTCTATCATTCTTAGTACACTGGCAGCCTTGGCGTAAGATATCGTGTCGAATATTCCTCTGATTTGCGTTGGACTCCAGACATCGTGGGTCATAGGATGAGTGGATTCTGAACTGTCTACTTCGAGAGCCGAATGAACGTGTTCCACGACGAACTGACCCTCCAGTGACCATCCACTGTTCTCCTAAATAAATTCAACGAAGCTATTAAGTTTAATAAGTTTCATAATTAGTTAATTTTATTTCATTTATTTTTTAATTAAAATCAACTACATTATCGAGTAATAATTGCGCATTATTCTGGCGAATAAAATGGAAATACGAACCGAAGTAACAAGTTAACACATAAAGTTGACACACAGAAGAAATTTCATTTCAAGGTACATGCACTTGCCTCATGAATTGCAAAATATTGGAAGTATCTTGCGAATCCTTCGTTCAACCACAGATATTTCCACCATTTTGGGCTGACGAGATTTCCAAACCATTGATGAGCGATTTCGTGCGCCACCACGTTCGCTATACTCTGTTTCGAGGCTGTGGTCGATAGACTTTCATCAAACAGCAGGTTTCTCTCCTTATAAGTCAATAGACCCCAATTCTCCATTGCGCCTGACACAAAGTCAGGCAACGCGACCATGTCCAGTTTATGCATTTCCTGATGATACGAAAAGTTCAGTGTTCCCTCGTAATAGCTGAGGAGTGGTTTCATAAGGGACAAAGCGTATTCCCCGTTTTCCACCGCGTTCTGCCTCGCCCATACTTTGTATCTGTCTGTGTGATTTCTCATCGAAAAATCAGAGATTACCAAAGCGACCAAGTACGTCGACATTTTGGGCGTTTCCTCGAAGCTGATATTTTGCATATTGTTCCTACGAAATTCGATCAAGTGATTAATTTCGTTTTCGATCATTATCCGTGTGATTTAAAATTATTTCTCTTTAACCCTTTGCACTCCTTTGTCGAGTGTGACAGAAAGGACAAAGTATTGAAAAATATTTTGCACTGCAAAGGGTTAAACATTATCGTCGACGAAAATTAGCCTTCCATTAAGAGCCGCAAAGTAATGTTTCATTTAATTTCATTGCTCGATCAACACTATGTATTTGCTAAAAATGCAAATGGACAATGAGTTAATATGAAATAAATATTTAATATTTACTTAAGGTATATAGGGGGACGTTTCATTGGCGTGTTGCTGATGGCATTATATTTCTGTGGTATTAGGACATTTATTGTGAAATTTGCTTTCATTTCTGGCTCATCGAAACACGGGAACATTTTTCGAGCTCCCACTGGTTCCAGGTGCGTGGCAGCTAACCATCTGCGAAATAAACATATTATATTATGTGTTAACATTTACATATTAATTTGATTCAAGTGTATTAACACTGAGACTACCAAGGTAATTAAAATGACCAATTTATCATTTTTTTCACAGAAATTATATATATTCAGAGATTTGAATGATTTTTGAAGACACACTCCTTCTTTTCCAATTAGTTTACTGTAACTTCAGCAAAAATATATACACCCTTGCGTTTAATTCTCAAAATATATATTTTTATCACGAATGAGTTCTTTGATTATTAAAAATATACCTTACGAATGAAATAAAATAGAAATAATAATAGAGTAACAAGGTGAAACAAAAGTTTCTTCTAAGTGAAATCTAAAGTGAAAGTAAATGGAATAAACAATAAAAAATAAAATAAAAATTTGTTGTAACTAAAATGGGAATAAATAAATCCCTTACTTTTTTTCGCCTTTGTCGTCGAGGTACCAGCTTCTATAAATTCCGCGCATTTCTTCTTCATTCATATGTCCCGTGAATTCTATCGAGATGTTCAATCTCTGTCCAGGTTGCAACTCCTCAGAAAGATGGATGACCAGGAAATCATACTTCTTGTTGATACTAGTTTTTTCATAGGAAATCTGCTTATTGTCTGAGGACAAGGAAATATTATGGTGGATTAGGTCTACCGAATGTAAAGTGATATTCTTCGTTTTGTTCGCGACGATCGTTCCGATGTTCACCGATCCTGTGAACATAAAATTATCGAGATCGGTCAAGTTCGTCTCTATGCAGATCGTGTATGAGTTCGGGATTATGCTCGTGGGCAAACGATAATTTATGCTGTTGCTCTCTTGTTTGCTGTTGAAATCATTTATCCATGACGTAATTGCTTTCGTGTGCCTTTTCAACCATTGCAATTCATATCTTGCCAGTTCCAACGAACTACTCAACGATTTCACGATGTCCTTGAATTCGGTCTCAATCAAACTATCGTATTTATCTACCAGCCTCTCGGTGGAGAAACGTTTCGATGCTGACGACAAGATACTGGAAACTGTCCCATTTCCGTTGTAACTAAAACAGATGTTTCATTAATATTAATTTTATTTATTATTTTTCGTTATGTCAACAATAAATTGTAATATTAAGAATAATAATTTCATTTATTATTTTTTCATTATACTAATATTAATTGCCTCTCCGTGGGCAAGAATATTATCATACAGGTGAGTCGTTCATAACAGCTCAAAAAATTTTTCAAGAAGAAAGAAATTTGCTTCAAAGAAAGTTACGAATGGAATTTCGCTTAGGATGAAAACTATCTGGCTTGCCTGTAGAGCGTTAATGTTTGTCGGAAAAAATGATGGAAAAATTAGAGTTTTCTGTTTCAGTAGATTGAGAAAATCAATAAAATTCTAACTCTGTTACTTTACATCTCTGCAGAAATTTTAGAAATCGATTGATTCAAGAATTCCTTCTGAGATTTTAAAGTATTTTCAGCGTTAATAAAATAAATTAGTAAATTAATTGACATTGTATATACAATTCAATTATACTATATTAATATTGCATTTATTTTAAACTAAGAAGAAGTATGAAACGACGAATGTTCTTTTCATAGACAGACTTACAATTTGATCATTTCAGCCTGATGTTTCGCGACGAAGTCCAGCACAAACTCTGCGCCGAATATATTGGAACCATAAACCGCAGAGAATACAGCAGTATGGTCTTGCAGTCGAATTCTGTTTTCTTCGAACTTCTTGAGCGCGTTTAACAGGTGTCTGTAAAAATTATACAGCAAAATTGTGAATCACGAATGATATAATATCCATGTGCAACAAATGAACTGCCGATGTTTATGCATTTAAGTGAAATTTACATGTCAAAATATGTAAACATGCACATTGTACGTGAAAAAATATAATGAAATATCCACAACATCCAGGAAGCATATGTATGTTATGATTATTTAGTGGATGAAAAAAAAAATTTTCTTCCTTCTTAATCCTTTTTTCATCCTTGATGTTAATTTTTTGTCCCAAGTATCTTGAATTTTTTTAATATGATATAAATTCTCATAGTCATTTGTAACTCCCCGATACAATTATTTAATTCACATAAACATCGATAGTCTGTAAACAATAAGTACAAAGAGAATGACTGACTTTTCCAAGAGAGTTTTATCCTGGGTACAGCCGAGAGCCTCTAGCATTACTATTTGATCAGTCGCCGAGTTCGAATTTAAATACTGACGCCATAAGAATTCCCAGTCTTCTTTCGTTCCATATTTCACTCCCGTGCAATATGCGACCGGTCGTTGGTTAGGTTTAATTCTGTAACGCAATGGCAAAAATCGTACAGTCATTTAGATTTCTACAATAACAAATAATATTTTTGCTCTTTTATTTCTATAAAATAGAATGTTGTACAATTCTATTTGTGAAACAATTTTCTCGTAAAGATTTCTGAAAAAAACTGAAGACAGTCAAGGATTGTCAGAGCCTTTTTGCGTGTAAAGAAAGA